TGTTCTTCAGGAATGGGGTTCACATGTTTAGTCATCTCATCAGAATGGCGGAATCGATAAATCGGATTGCCAGAGGATAACATGGAACCCGCCGTGAGGCGATGTCTGAAATTGGTCAGACTGAAAGTGGTGAGACGGTGGACATTCACGGTGTCAAGTATGAGAATCGCCTGAAAACATGTAAATAGGAAAACCTAATCAGCAAATGAAATTGGATCTATTAATCCACAAACAAAATTGAATCTAACTCCGAAAAATTGAAATAATTTTAGAAACAAAAACATATGATTTTTTTTTTACGTCGGACTATGTTTAAAAAGAGGGAAAACATGAGTTTGAGGTATGAAACAACTTTAGAGTCTAGGAAGAGCATGTCTACCTAATCAAACGTTTCTTACTTCCCAGAGTCTCAGAAACTACACCTCCACCGTGGAAGAAAACCGTCCAGCCTTTCAATCGAATAGCAAGATAGTTGATGGAGACATTATACTGAAAATAAAATTGCTATGAATAATAGGAACTGTGAGGATGATCCTAAAGGGATAAATCCGTACCATTTTATAGGTGAGAATCACCGACTTTATGAAGGATATGAATCATTGAATGGAAGATCGTGGGTGTAGTGGGATGAAGATTTAAGTTTCTGTTCATGGGGTTCTATTAATTTGATTCGTAACAATCTAGAGGGGAAGAATAGAGACTGAAACGTCGGAATCGCCATTGTTGGTTGACGGTAGTAAATATTGGATGCGCGAGAAAACCCTAGCAATTTAGAGAACCACGTAGAAGCTAAAGTGTGATGGACCTATTATTTGGTTGATTTCAGCCCAATAAGATTCTATAAAGTACAGATACGAAAATTTCGTTGAAGTCCTATATCGAAAAGAAAAAAAATGCAAGGATTTTTTTTAAAATAAGTACACGTGTCAGATTTTCCTCCCTCTAATTAGTGACATGGCAGAAGGAGGAGGGAATAAACTATACTTTATAATAATAGATATAAAAAACGTCTTTTAATTTTTTTAGTTAAAAGTTAGTGAACATATATTAAGAGACCCAACTTAAAGGACCCGCAAGATTCTAACACATATCTTTATAATATGGAACTTGAACAATTATTGACAAAAAAAAACAATTATTGAAACGTCTAAAAAAAGTAGGTGAAACTGAGTTGGTGGGTAAGCAAAAAGTCCCATGTGTCATTTAAAAAACAAAACAATTAATATTCTATATATTATACACAGTATATCTAAACAAAATGATCCTTCAGACAGGTTTGCTCGTCACAAACAACTTCAACAATGGGATCTACGGTTCAAAAATCAGCTTTACTGTTATGCGGAGACTACATGGAATCCTACGAGACAATGGTTCCTCTCTACACCCTCCAATCCCTTGGCGTCAGCGTTCACTGCGTTTCACCCAACCGCACCGCCGGCGACCGCTGCGTTATGGCGGCCCACGACTTCACGGGCCTCGAGCTATACACCGAGCTGGTCGTTGACCAGTTGACTCTAACCGCCAACTTCGATGACATCACCACTCCTGATAACTATGACGTCATCATCATCCCCGGCGGAAGGTTCACGGAGACTCTCAGCGCCGACGAGAGGTGCGTGGAGCTCGTGGCGCGTTTCGCCGAGTGCAAGAAAATGATATTCACCAGCTGTCACAGCCAGGTTATGCTGATGGCTGCCGGAGTACTCGCCGGAGGTGTGAGATGCACGGCGTTCGAGAGCATGAGGACTCTGATAGAACTCTCCGGCGGCGCGTGGTGGCAGCAGCCTGGGGTAGAGAGTATGTTCGAGATCACTGATTGTGTCAAGGATGGGAATGTTGTGAGTATGGTTGGTTGGCCAACGCTTGGTCACGCGGTTAGGGTTTTGGTGGAGTCTCTTGGGGGGCAAGTCTTGAAGGAGAATCCAACTTCTGTGCTTTTCCTCATTGGGGTAAGTTCCAGTTTTACTCTGTAATTTATAGTATGTTTTTATTAGGCGTGAGGTTTTGGTTTATTTTGATAAATCAGTTAGGATAATTCAATCATCGGTTAGCTCATATGAGGACTTGGTTTTCGTTTTGCACTTTAATTTATTTGGTTTTCTTTTACTAATAACTATATTTAGTTTTTATTTGATTTTGAATGATGATATTTGATGTTTCTTTCTTATTTTTAAATCAATTTTGACATATATTTTGGTTATAAAATAAGTAAAAATCAAGTATTTTAAATCTCAAAAACTGACTTTACTTATGTTTTGAGTACAAAGTAAGTATAAATCAAATACTTTTAAACCGATAAACCGATTGGAACCCAAATCTGAAAATATAACGAATTATACCGGTTTTTTGAAGATTTACTAACCCCGACTCAAATCCGATAGAACCTGAACCAGTCCTGAACCGAACTTTCATAAAATCCGAATGGGGTTGCTTTTTATAAACCTAAAAATTCAAGATTCGATTGGGATCCAGAACGCCCATACCAATATTCGGCTTATTTTCCTTAGTTAGTTTGGATCAGTTTTTTTTTGTTTTTATTTTCTCGGAATTTGGTTAATTTTTTTGTTACAAAACTCAACTAGCCAATTACCAAACCGTCAAAAGTTTGCCAAATTGAAAACCAAAATTTTGGTTCGGTTTGGCTAGTTCGAGTATAAAATCCTAGGGCTGGTTTCAATCATAGTTTGTGATGTGTTGGCATTGAAGGACTATGTAGAGGACTATGGGATCAATGTACCATTTAGAGCACTACAAGCTTTAGGATGTAAAGTCGATGCAGTGACACCGAACAAGAAGAAGGGAGAGATGTGTGCAACATTGGTTTACGACCTTGAGGAGGGAAGGCAGCTTCCTGAAGAGAAGCGAGGGCACAACTTCCTTGTGACTGCGTCTTGGGATGATGTATGTGTTGATGATTATGACTGTGTAGTGGTTCCAGGAGGGAGATCACCTGAGCTACTAGTGATGAATCAAAAGGCTGTTGCTTTGGTCAAGAAGTTTGCTGAGAAAGATAAGGTCTTTGCAGCTATGGGACAGGGTAAATTGCTACTTGCAGCCACCGGTGTACTTAAGGTAAGTGACTACTTCTTGACTTTAATTTATTTGCATCAACTATAGAAAATGTGACTTAGTTTTTGGTAGATGCATGGAGGAAACAATATGATAATGGAATGTCTATATTTAGTATCATTTCTTGGTCACGTGACATTTTTCTTAATGAAACTCTAGGGGAAGCGATGCGCTAGTGGAAAGGGGATGAAGGTGATGGTAAAGGTGGCTGGAGGTGAAGCTGTTGTGTCAAAGGGATGTGTGACTGACGGAAAGCTTGTGACGGCTGCATCAGCTTCAGATCTGCCAGAGTTTTTGTCTGGTTTATCAACTGCTCTTGGTGTCTCTGTCATGTTCTAAGATTTTCCAAGAATGAACCATAAAAGACAGTTTGGATAATAAAACATAACTTACAAAGCTAAGCGCGTTTGGAATTGCTTGTAAGAGAAGCTGCAATGCTGATCCTTACAAAAAAATCCTTAGCAACAAATTACTTTTATAATATGTGGGGACCAAAAAAATTAGGAATTTATGTTATAATTATGTTTTGCAGTCCGTAAATAAGGACCATTTCGCTGATGGACTCGTCGCTGTGCGCAGGTCCCATCACCGCGTAAGAACTCATGATTGGTTTTTTTTTTAACTGAAAAAAAAAATAATAAAATAATATAAAATACTTACATGGGTTATCGAGTCATGAGTAACACGGTTGTACATGTCCTAAGAATCTTCATATCAATCCGCTTATAGCAATGAACTAGTATTCTCAATTAACTATACAGGAAATAGGCAGCAATAGTAACAAATGAGCTTAAGCTTTCAAGGTAGAACATATCATAGCTATATATATTAGCAAACCCAAATTCTGTACTTGTACTTGCTATTATATATAGGAGAAAAAACTTCAATCCAACGGTCATTTTTTTTTTTTTTATGATCTAAGAAATATAAAATACTCTTGCTATGAATGTTGATATCATCTAAAAAATTATATTGGTTAACTTTTTCTTGAACAATTATCTATTTAAACAACACATTCTTATAGAGTAACAAACTTATCTTTCATTAATTTTTATATATTTTAAAAAAGTTACAATCCGACATTCATAATTAACTGTTTGTTTATCTAAAGATCCACCAGAATTAACTTGGTTTACATGTCTTACGTCTTGTCGCAACTCCTCTACGAAGAGATTCTTTCTAAAAGAACACATACCTTCTAGAGTAGCTAATGATGTACATTATCATGATCTTATTTTTTGAACTTTTTACTGCAGAACTTTTTTGTCAATCTCATTTGTTATCTATTGATAGAGCTAATAATAAATCAATAGCAGTATGCTCTCGTATATGTGTTTAATAGTATAATTGATAGAACAATAAATGATTCATATATAAAATTATAATAAAAAATAATATATGATATGTAATTTAATTATTTCTGAATGATATAGATATATATTTATATTTATATTTATCTTTATGATATATAAATATATAGTATTTTATGTTTTTGTTATTAAAAATAATGACTCATATTTAATTATATAAATTAGATTATAATGTGAAATATTATTCTTTTTAAAAAGCTAAAAATATTTTAGTGGAAAATTTATGCTTGGAAATATAAATTTAATTTTTGGATACAAATATTTGACCCCAAAAAAATTAATGATCCAAAACATTTTGTGTACCCAAAACAACAAAAAGCTCTGAAAGATGTAAAAGAACAAATTGACTGGATGTACTTACCTTTTCTGGTCAACCAAATATTATTATTTTAATCAAGATTCACAGATCGCTACATTGCTCGTGACCCCCACCACTTTTAACACTCTTCCTTAATTACTCGGTAATCAGTTTCCAAGCTGTTGTTGAAGATGTGTAGCTTCGTAACACTTCAATAGCAAGCAGCAGCTCTGTTTGGTTTGATTGATTGTCTGATTTTGAAGATGTGGAGTTCACCTCGTATGAAGAAACAGAAACCTGAAGGTTCCTCACTAAAACTAACCAACGAGCCTCTTAAAGAGTCATTGCCTCAGGTTCTCAACTGCTTCTGCAGAGCCTTTTAACAATATTTTGCTTCTTTTATATACTTATGGAGTAGAAACACGATTACAGTTTTATTTTCAAGATGGTCGGCCACCACCAAGCGAGATGAAAGAGCAATGTATGCTTAGAATCAACCATTTTTTCCATGGTCACATGGATGGACTTCAGATACAAGGTAACTCTATTTAAAGGTAACACTTACAGTAGCTGCCTTGTTAACACTCTAATACTCTTCTCATAACTCAGAGTTCAAATTAGTCACCAGTGAAATCTGCAATCTCCCATCTTTCTTCTCCACTTCACTTTTCAGGAAAATCGATTTCAATAATACAGGTTTTGTTACCAGGTGTGTGTATGTATGTGTGTGTGTGTGTGTGTTTCTATGCTCCTTGTTCATGAGTATTGTCCAAACTAGTTAGTGTTTGACAATGCAGAGAAGCATTTATTAATTATTGGGTAAACGGGAACATGTTGACAATGGATACAGCAACACAAGTCTTTAAGATACTAAAGCAGCAGAATCAGAATTTTCTTGTTAAGGTACTATTCTTTTGATTGGCATATTCAGTCATGATAGTAGAGTTAATCAACCAATCTCCTTTATTCTTATGTTTGCATTTTCAATTTCTGGTAGGATGATTTCAAACCACTACTTAAAGAACTGTTGGCAACACATCCTGGCCTAAAGTTCCTGCAAACCACACCTGAGTTCCAAGAAAGATATGGTCAGTAGTATCCTATTTTTTATCATGTTTTCTTTTCCCTCTTGGTGTTTGCTTGAGTATGGTGTTTAGCTGTAGAAACTATTCTCATAAGTATATGTTTAGTCTGTTCTGTCTGGAATAATCTATGTTCTTGTCTTAGACATCTTCTTATG